CATGCCTATAATCCCTGTACTCCGGGAGGCTGAGGCAGAAGAACGCTTGAACCCGGAAGCGGAGGTTGCAGTGAGCTGAGATTATGCCCATTGCACTCCAGCCTGTTCTGCTCACAGGAGGAATTGTGACATATCACTTGGCCCAGTACCAAGCAAGTGTGACTCTTCTATTCATCATAAGTTCTGCTTTCAAGGGAGATTGGGACATATTGTGGGGCTCAACACCGATGTGACATTACTGTTTTGCCTTGGCCCAGACCTTAAAGGCACTGTGACATATTGCTCGGCCCACCAACAAGGTGACGAGAGGTTCTGTGTGGACACTGACAACAGAGCATTGTGACATATCTTTGGGATTGTCAACTATTTGATGTGACTTTTTTTTTTTTTTTTGAGACGGAGTCTCGCTGTGTCGCCCAGGCTAGAGTGCGGTGGCACGATCTCGGCTCACTGCAAGCTCCGCCTCCCGGGTTCACGCCATTCTCCTGTCTCAGCCTCCCGAGTAGCTGGGACTACAGGCGCCCGCCACCTCACCTGGCTAATTTTTTGTATTTTTAGTAGAGACGGGGTTTCACCGTGTTAGCCAGGATGGTCTCATCACCCGACCTCGTGATCCGCCCATCTCGGCCTCCCAAAGTGCTGCGATTACAGGTGTGAGCCACCGCGCCCGGCTGACTCTCCTTTTATACCAAGGCTTTACTCATAGGGGAGATCGTGATGTATCTTTTGGCCCAGAAATCAGGTGATGTGTTTCTCCTGCCTGAGTTTTGCTCACAGGGAGCATTGTGACATATCACTGGGCCCAGCACCCAGGTGATGGGACTCTACTGCCTGTCTCCCGCTTTCAGGGGGAAATTGTAACATATCTCTGACCAAGCACCCAGATGATAACTCTTCTGCCTGGTCCCTGTTCTCAGGGAAGATTGTGACATAGCCCTGGCCCAGCACCCAGATGATGCAGACGATGTAATACTCCTGCTCACTCTCTATCCACAGGTAAGACTATGACATATGATCATGCCCAGCTAATTTTTGCCTTTTAATAGAGATGGGGTTTCACCGTGTTGGCCAGGCTGGTCTCGAACTCAGGTGATCTGCCCACCTTGGCCTCCCAAAGTGCTCAGATTATAGGCGTGAGCCATGGTCCCCTGGCCTAGGGAATGTAACTTTCTTTTGCTGCCTGTTCTCTACTCACAGGGGTAATTGTGACATATTGCTGGTCCCAGCTCCTAGCTGATGTGACTCTTCTTTTTTCTAGGTTCTGCACACAAAGGAGATTGTGACATACCGCTGTGCCTAACGCTAAGGTGATGTGACTTCTCTTCTTTGGCTATGTCCTTAGAAGGCATTGAGATACACTGCTGAACCCAACACCAAGGTGCTGTGAGTCCTCTGCCTGAACCCTGACCACAGGGAGCATTGTGACATATTTCTTGACCCATTGCAATGGAAAAAGCTCAGATAAATGCCCTATTTTACCTACGTGATGTGACATTCCTCTTCTGCCTGAGCCAAGCACACCAGTGATGTAATTATTCTGCCTGTTCCCTGCACACAGGAGTCACTGTGATATATGTTTGGGCCCATCAGCTAGATGATGTGAATCTCCTCTTCCAGAGTTTGTCCTCAGTGAGAATTGTGATATATCGCTTGATGTAGCGCGTATGTGATGTGGCTCTTCTCTCATGCCTGGTCCCTTCCCACTGGGGTGACTGGATCATAAAGCTGAGCCCCACACCTACGTGATGTGACTTTCTTGTTTGTAATCCCTACCCACAGGGGGCATTGTGACATATCTAGGCCTCTCACCTAGCTAATATGACATTTTTACCGAGGCCCTCCCCTCAGGGGGTATTGTGAAATATTACTGGACCAAGAACTTAGGTGATGTGGCTCTCTCTACTGCTTGGGGTGTGCTTAAGAAGAAATTGTAGGCCGGGCTTGGTGGCTCATGCCTGTAATCCCAGCGCTTTGGGAGGCCGCGGCGAGGGGATCACCTGAGGTCAGGAGTTCGAGACCAGCCTCAACATGGCAAAACCCCGTCTCTACTAAAAAGTACAAAATTAGCCAGGCGTGATGGTTCATGCCTGTAATCCCAGCTACTCGGGAGGCTGAGGCAGGAGAATCGCTTGAATCTGGGAGGTGGAGGTTGCAGTGAGCCAAGATTGCTCCATTGCACTCCAGCCTGGGCAACAAGAGCGAAACTCCGTCCCAAAAAAAAAAAAAAAAAAGAAATTGTCATATATCTCTGTATCCAGCACCAAGGTACGTTACTCTCCTCTCCTGCCTGGTACTCATATACATTTTGTATTACAACATATCTCTGAATCCAACATTGAGGCAATGTGACTGTCCAGCATGGGCTCTCCCACAAAAATAACACATCTTTTTACTCGTTATCTAGGTGATATTACTCTTCTGCTTGAGCCCTGCCAAAAGAAAAGATTGCCACAGATCACTGGACCCAGCACCTAGGTGATATGACTCTTTATTTGCCTGAAACCTGCATATTTTAGATATAGTGACATATCACCAGAACAAACACCTAAAGGTTAGATGGCTCCTTCCTGAGCCCTTCCCACAGGGGTCCTTGTGATGTGTTTCTGTATCCATCACCCAGGATTTGAAACCCTCTACTTCTGCCAGCATTTTGCCCACAGGAAATATTATGACATGTTGCTGGGCCCAGCAACCAGGTGATCTTACTCTTCTGCCTGTGCCCTGCTTTCAGGAGGGGATTGTAAAATTTCTGGGTCGAGCACCCAGTAACATGACTCTCCTGCCTGGTGCCTGTTCTCAGGGAAGATTGTGACTTAACTGTTTCCCAGCACACAGCTGAAGTGAATTTTTTTTCTTTTTTTTTTAGATGGAGTCTCACTCTATCACTCAGGCTGGAGTGTAGTGGCGTGATCTCGGCTTACTGCAACCCCTGCTTCCCGGGTTCAAGTGATTCTCCTGCCTTAGCCACCCGAGTATCTGGGACTACAGGTGCCCACCATCATGCTCAGCTAATTTTTGAATTTTTAGTAAAGACAGGGTTTCACCATGTTGGCCAGGCTGGTCTCGAACTCCTGACCTCAGGTGATCCATTTGCCTTGGCCTCCCAAAGCCCTGGGATTACAGGCATGAGCCATCACACCTGGCTGACATGAGCTTTTCTCTAGGAGACATTGAAACATGTCTGGGCCAAGCATCTGGTGATGTTACTCTTCTCTCCTGCCTGGGCCCTGGCCACAGAAGGGAGAGTGACTTATCCCTAGGCCCAGCATGCAGGTGACATAATTTTTCTGCCTAATCTCTGTCCACAGGGGACATTGTGACATGTCCCTGGGACCATAAACTAGATGATATGACTCTTTTTGTCTCTGAGACCTGTCCACAGGTCTTTTTTTTTTTTTAGATGGAGTCTCACTCTGTTGCCCAGGCTGGAGTACAGTGGCGTGATCTCGGCTCACTGCAAACTCTGCCTCCCAGGTTCAAGTGATTCTCCTGCCTCAGCCTCATGAATAGCTAAGATTACAGGCATGTACCACCATGCCTGGCTAAATTTTTTTTTTTTTTTCATTTTTAGTAAAGACGAGGTTTCACCATGTTGGCTAAACTGTTCTTGAACTCCTAATCTCAAGTTATCTGCCTACCTTGGCCTCCCAAAATGCTGGCATTACAGGCATCAGCCACCACGCCCAACCTGTGCCATATTTTTTGACCTAGCAACAAGGTTATGTGACTCTCCTCTACTGCTTGGACCCTGTGTACATTCTGTATATTGAAGTATGGCTAGGTCCGACACCTAGGTGATTTGACTCTCCTCTCCACGCGGCCTTCTAACAGGGGAATTCTGACATACCTCTTTGTCTATCACCTGAGTGATATGACTCTCCTTTTCTACCTGAACCCTGTAAAAAGAAGGGATTGTGACATATCACTGGACCCAGCAACTAGGTGATATTACTTTCTTTTTTTACCTGGGCCTATTGTATTTTGGGTATTATGACATATTGCCGGGTCAAAGCAAATGGGTGAAAGGCTCTTGCCTGGGCCCTGCCCACAGGAGGCCTTTGTTACATATCTGTGCATCCATTACTTTGGAGGCGTGACTCTCTTCCATCTGTACCATACCCATACAGAACATTGTGACATATCTCTGGGTTCAGCAACCAGATGGTATATATTTTGTGCACAGCCTTGCCTGCAGAGAGACCTAGCTGGACCCACTACTACCCAAGTGATGTGACTTTGATGTCTGTGCCTTGCTTTCAGGAGGGAATTTTAGGGTAACAGAACGCTGGCCAGGCAACCAAGCGATATGCCTGGTTTCTTCCCTGGAAAAATTGTGATATATTCCTGACCCAGCACCCAGGTGATGTTATTCTCTCATTTGCTTTCTACTCACAGGTTGGATTGTGACTTACACTTTAGCCTAGCTCACAGTTGTGATGATGACACTCGTACCACAAATCAGCCAGTAGGGGAGATACTGGCACTTGTAGCTAAACCTAGAGAAACAGGTAAATTATTGGGTCTTCTCTAGGTGAGAACATCATAAAGGATAACCATTCTTTCCGAGTTTGTATAAAGTCTTTGGATGGTACAGAGAGTGTCGTCACAGGGTCAAGCACACAGGTGAGACTGTGTTTCCCATACGAACAACCTACCAAATGTTGGCATTGTCACCCTCACAGATGGACAGAGCCTGCTGGAAAGATCCTGAATTTCACACATCGATGTAGTCCACAGTAAAAATTGTGACTGTCATATGTGATCATGCGACCACAGTCAAGGTGGTGACTCATTTCAAAACAAAGTTCATAGGCAGGTGAGGACTCTCCTCTCTGGACCTAGCCAATTGGAGAGATGTTAACTCTAACACATGGGCTTAGGTCCATAGGTACAATTATCAGTTCATACTAGAACAGAATTCTCAGAGCAAATTGTGACTATCGTGCATATTGTATAAAGCCCTCAGATGGTAACAGAGTTTTGTAACGGGGCCCAGCACACAGGCGACATTGTGATACTCATACACACAGTCAGCCAATAGTAAAGATTGTCATCTTTTCATATGAACACAGCTCACTGTTGAAGTTCTGAATCTCACACCCAGCGATAGCCAAAAGTTGGAAAATGGACTCTCACACGTGGATTCGGTCCACATGTGGGCTGGTGACTGTCAGGCCAAGATTCAGCATATCTGTGAGGCTGTGAGTCCACTAAAGGACACAGTCCCCTGCAAAGATTGAGGCCCTCAGGCAGGTATCCAGTCCACCATTGAGATTGTCACTTGTGTACTCAGACTCAACATACAAAACGTGTTGACTCTAATACCTAGAAATGGGACATGTGTGGAATTGTTAATGTTTTTTTTTTTTTTGAGACGGAGTTTCAATCTTGTTGCCCAGGCTGGAGAGCAATGGCGCAATCTCGGCTCACTGCAACCTCCGCCTCCTGGGTTCAAGCAATTCTCCTACGTCAGCCTCCTGAGTAGCTGGGATTACAGGTGCCCACCACAGTACCTGGCTAATTTTTTTGTATTTTAGTAGAGACAGGGTATCACCATATTGGCCAGGCTGGTCTCAAACTCCTGACCTCATGTGATCCACCTGCCTCAGTCTCCCAAAGTGCTGGGATTACAGGTGTGAGCCACCACACACGGCAGGATTGCTAATTTTATCCCTACATTTTCCTGCAACCATGAGTGTAACATACACCTCTGCCCAGCACCTAAGTGACTTGACTTTTCTGCCTGGTGCCTAGTCCACAGATCAGGTTGTGATACATTGCTGGACCCAACACTAGGTGGTGTGACGCTGTACTTTTGCCTCGGCACTGCCCACATGGGGCATTGTGACATATCACTGGGCCCCACACCCTGGTTACGTAACTCTCTTACTTGTAACCTGCCTTTATGGGCCATTGTGACATATTGCCATTTGCAACATCCAGGTTATATAACTGTCCTTGCTGAGTCCTGCCTACAGAAAGCCTTATGATCTGTGTATCCATCATCCAGGTAATGTGACTCTTTCTCCCAGGTCCCTGCTCATAGAAAGGATTGTTAGTTATCACTGAGCCCAGTGCCTAGCTGATATAATTCTTCTACATGTGTTCTGCTTACAGTGTACATTGTGACATACTGCTGGGTTGAACACTAAGGTGATGTTACCTTTTTGCCTTGGCATTTTTTCATCAGACATTGTGACATATTGTTGGGCTCAGAACCAAGGTGATGTGATTCTTCTGCCTGAACCCTGCTCAAGAGTCAACACCTTTTGCCCAACAAGGATAGTGCAATATTTGTGAATCCATCATCTATGTGATGTGACTCTCTTACTTGGATTTTGCCTATAGGAGAGATTGCGACATATCACAGGGCCCAGCACCTAGATAATGTGACTCTTCTTTCCTGCCATGGTCATGCTCCCATAAAAGAGAGTGACTTATCCCTGGGATCAGCCCACAGGCTATGTGATTGTTCTGCCTAGTCCCTGTCTACAGGGGTTAGTGACATATCTCTTGGTCCCATTCCTCTTCTCCCTGGGATCTGTCCACCGTGGGGATTGTGACATATCACTTGGCCTAGCACCTATGTGATGCGACTCTTCTCGTGCTTTGGCCCTGCCCACTGGTTGATTGTGATATGTAGGTGGAACCAGCTCTTAGGTTATGTGATCTTTCTTACTTCGGAGCCCTACTCTCCCGAGACCAGCTCAGTCGTGGAGACCCTGACCCAGTGGCGCTAGAGGAATTAAACACACCATACAGAAATATAGCGTGTGGAGTGGGAAATCAGGGGTCTCACAGCCTTCAGAGCTGAGAGCCTCAAACAGAGATTTACCCAGAGATTTATTTATTGACAGCAAGCCAGTGATAAGCGTTGTTTCTATATATTATAGATTAACTAAAAGTATTCCTTACCGGAAACAAAGGGATGGGCCAAAATAAAGGGATGGGTCTGGCTAGTTATCTGCAGCAGGAGCATGTCCTTAAGGCACAGATCCCTCATGCTATTGTTTGTGGTTTAAGAACGCGGTAAGCTGTGTTCCGCCCTGGGTGGGCCAGGTGTTCCTTGCCTTCATTCCGGTAAACCAACAACCTTCCAGCATTGGCGTCATAGCCATCACTAACATGTCACAGTGCTGCAGAGCTTTTGTTTGTGGCCAGTTTTGGGCCTTTTTATGACCAGATTTGGGGACCTGTTCCCAACACTACTCACAGGGGACACTGACATTATCTCTGGGCCTCTCACCTACATGATGTGACTTTTTTGCCAGGGCTCTTTTCTCAGAGGGTACTGTGATATTTCAGGATCTGTGAACCTAGGTGATGTGACTCTCTTCTACTGCTTGGGCTCTGCCTGAGATGTGACTTTTTTTTTTTTTTTCCTGGACTTTGCATACATTGTATATTGCGATATATGACGGGGTCTAAGACCCAGGTAATATGACTCTAACTCATGGGTTCTGTTCAGAAGGGTATTATGACATATCTTTTTGTTCATCACTTAGGTGTTATGACTCTTGTCTTTTCACTGGAACCTGCCAAGAAGGGTGATTGTGACATATCACTGGACCCAGCACCTTGGTGTTGTGACTCTCCTCTCCTCCTTGGGCCCTGCATACATTGTGTCTATTGAAATATGGCTGGTCCAACACGTAGGTAATGTGATTCTCCTGCATAGGCCCTGCTAATAGGGCAATTATGACATATGTTTTGTTTATCACTTAAGTGATGTTACTCTTTTTTTTTTTTTCCTGAATCCTGTAAAAGGGGGAGATTGTGATCCTAACACTGGACCCAGCACATAAGTAATATGAGTTTCCTGCATAGGCTCTGTTCAGAAGGGTATTATGACCTATCTGTCAGAAGGGTATATGACACATCACTTAGGTGTTGTGACTCGTTTTTTGACTGGAACCTGCCGAAAAAGGTGATTGTGACATATTACTGGACCCAGCACCTAGGTGATGTGACTGTCTTTTTTTCCTGGGCCTCACATATTTTGGGTATTGTGATGTATAGCTGGGCTCAACACCTAGCGGCTAGGGAGCTCCTTTCTTGACCGTTCCCACAAATGACTTATCTCTGCTATGACCGCCTATGACACATGACCTAAATATGTGACTCTTCTTTTCTGCCTGCACCTTGCTAACAGAGAAGATTGTGACAAATTGCTAAGTGCCGTGTATCTTGTGCTGACCTCCTATCTCAGCCTGTGACCAAGAATGCCTAACTTCCGGGGAATGCAGCCCTGTAGGTCTCAACCTCGATTTACCCAGCCACTATTCAAAATAGAGTCACTCTGGTTTAAATGCCTCTGACATTAAGATACACTGTAAAATTATGAAAAAAGTTTATTTGAATTTTAGCAAATGAGAAATGAAATAATTAGAATGGGCTATTCTGAACGATATAGCATTAGTTATATTTGTGTTTGAGTTTTCTATTAACCTATATTTGTTACTTATGAATAGATATCTTGTTTTATTCTGTCTAAACAGATACACTAGGTGGGGTGTAGTGGCTCATGCCTGTAATCCCAGCACTTTGGGAGGCCGAGGCAAGTGGATTACCTGAGGTCAAGAGTTTGAGACAAGCCTGACCAACATGGGAAAACACTGTTTCTACTAAAAATACAAAAATTAATTGGCCATGGTGGCGGGTGCCTGTAATCCCAGCTACTTAGGAGGCTGAGGCAGGAGAATCGCTTGAACCCAAGAGACGGAGGTTGCAGTGAGCCAATATCATGCCACTGCGTTCCACCCTGGGTGACAGAGCGAGACTCTGTCTCAAAAAATAAGATAAAATAAGTGGCTGGGCATGCTGGCTCATGCCTGTAATCCCAACACTTTGGGAGGCTGAGGAGGGTGGATCACAAGGTCAGCAGTTCAAGACTAGCCTGGCCAAGATGGTAAAACCCTGTCTCTACTAAAAATACAAAAATCAGCCGCGTGTGTTGGCAGGTGCCTGTAATCCCAGCTACTCGGGAGGCCGAGGCAGAGAATTGCTTGAACCCGGGACACAGAGGTTGCAGTGAGCCGAGATCTCACCATTGCAGTCCAGCCTGGGTGACAGAGCGAGACTCTGTCCCAAAAAATAAATGAATAAATAAAATAAAAAACAAACAGATAAACTAGATAACCAGACTGACCAACATGGGGAAGCCCTGTCTCTACTATGCAGTCCCAGCTACTCAGGAGGCTGAGGCAAGAAATCGCCTTGAGCCTGGGAGGCAGAGGTTGCAGAGAGCTGAGATCACCTCAGTGTTTTCCAAACTGGGCGAGGGAGTTTGGGAGGGAGGGAGGGAGACTCCATCTCAAAAAAATAAAAATAAAAGGGGTCCCCGCTTTAAAAGGAAAATAAATCTCAAAACGGCAAAATCACTAAGCCAATGGAAAAGTCAAGCTGGGAACTATGTCAGGCAAAAAATAAACATAAAAGGGGTCCCCACTTTAAAAAGAAAATAAATCTCATAACGGCAAAATCACTAAGCCAATGGAAAAGTCAAGCTGGGAACTATGTCAGGCAAACGTGCGTCCCATATTATTTCTAAATAACATAGTTGCAAAGATAAAAAAGCTACATACCTTTTTCACAATTTGCCCACAAGAAAATTCCTTCTGAACAGGTAACAGAACTCAGTCATCCCTCTGAGACTCACCTGAGATAAATGCATATCTGATTACTCCCTCTGCCCTATTGTTAATTTAAAAATGCAGATTCAGGCCAGGCTCAGTGGCTCACTCCTGTCATCCAAGCACTTTGGGAGGCTGAGGTGGGGAGGTCACCTGAGGTCAGGAGTTTGAGACCAGCTTGGCCAACATGGGGAAGCCCTGTCTCTACTAAAATTACAAAAATTAGCTGGTCATGGTGGCACATGCCTGTACTCCCAGCTCTGGGGTGGGGGGGAGGCAGGGAGAGCTGAAGTAGTAGAATCGCTTGAACTCAGGAGGCAGAGGTTGCAGTAAGCTGAGACCATGCCACTGCACTCCAGCCTGGGTGGAAAAGTGAGACTCCACTCAAAAAAAAAAAAAAAAAAATTGCAGATTCACTGAGCCACACTAAATCGTATATTCAGTGGAAGGTTGATCAAGGACACAAAAGAATCCAACCTTTATGTCTGGAAGCCCACACCTCGAGTTGTCCTGCCTTACCAGACCAAACCAATATACATCTTACACATATTGATTGATGTCTCATGTCTTCCTAAAGTGTGTAAAAGCAAGCTGTACCCCTACCACCTTGGACACATGTTGTCAGGAACTCCTGGGGCTGTGTCACGAACTTGTCCTTAACCTTGGCAAAATAAACTTTCTCGATTGATTGAGACCTGTCTCAGATACCTTTTTGTTTACACAGCCAAGGCCTTGCTAACTGGTCACTACTGCATCCCAGACTGATGCATCACCATTGCAGGAACTCTGGTTTCTGGTTTCTGGTCTTTTTTTTTTTTTTTGAGATGGAGTCTTGCTTTATCATGCAGGCTAGAGTGCAGTAGTACACGATCTCGGCTCACTGCAACCTCCACCTCCTAGGTTCAAGGGATTCTTGTGTCACAGCCTCCAGAGTAGCTGGGATTACAGGCATGTGCCACCACACCTGGCTAATTTTTGTAATTTTAGTAGAGGTGGGGTTTCACCATGTGGGCCAGGCTGGTATCAGACTCCTGACCTCAAGTGATCTGCCCACCTCGGTCTCCCAAAGTACTGGGATTACAGACATGAGCCACTGTGTCCAGCCCAAATATCAGAAAGTATTTTAATTTTGATATATTTGACAGGCTTCCTAAAGTCAAATATCAGCTTAAAAATTGTTTGTTATTGACCCCTAACTTTTGGATTCTGCAGAGGGCCAATGCAGCATCCAAAAAAGTAATGAACAGAATTATTTGATATGTCAAATTACATGGGAAGGGTTTTCAAATTAAAAATAATATTTGACCTGCTTCAACTTATATTTTAATAAATATGTTTTTAATATTTATTTTAAAATTGTATAAAATTTCTAAAAATCTAATATATCTGAGTATATGCTAGTAGTCATAATTAGGTTATTGTGGTAAGTTATTGTGGGCCACAGATATCTTTTTGTTTCTTCATAACCGTTTATTTCCATACTTAATGGTTTAATTCTGATATAGTTTCTAAAAACTTCGAAAGCATACACCATCCTAGATTATTGCATCTCTAGGGAGGTTCATTGAAAGATGGAAAGGGCCCAGACAAGTGGAGTACAGGTTTCTGATCATTTCAGAATCATATTGTTTTGACTAGGTAAGGATTGTTTGGAATCTAATGAAGAGAACTGCTAACCCAGGCAAAACAAAAATTAATTAAATATTAGGAAAATATTCTGCCACATATTATGCTGAATCAGCCAGTACTGAAATTTTTTAGATATGCCATTTGAATAAACTCTGTGGCCTAAATCAAATTACCTATGATAACCCCTCAGTTATCAGTGCTATGCCCCTAAATTGGAGAAACAAACCTGGTATTTAAGATGACATAAATTAGCAGGGTGCAGTGGCTCACCTGTAATCCCAGCACATTGGGAGGCCGAGGTTGGTGAATCACCTGAGGTTAGGAATTTGAGAACAGCCTGGCCAACATGGTGAAACTCCGTCTCTACTAAAAAGACAAAAATTGCCCAGGTGTGGTGGCGAGTGCCTGTAATCGCAGCTACTTGGGAGGCTAAGGCAGGAGAATCACTTGAACCCAGGAGGTTGGAGGTTGCAGTGAGCCAAGACCGTGCCATTGCACTCCAGCCTGGGTGACAGAGGGAGATTCTGTCTCAAAAAAGAAAAAAAAAAGGACATAAATTTAATGTTAAGTGTGGACTCATAAAGAACCTAGACAGCCAGTAAGCCATTTGTTTATTCTTGATTTCTTAAAACTTCCATTATTTAAAGCTCTGCATTCCATTACTCATCACAGAAGAGAAAACAACCTAAATTAAATATGAATTAAGTGTGTGTGTGTGTGTGTGTGTGTGTGTGTGTGTGTGGTGACTATTCCAAATTACTAAAACAGATTAAGACCAATTTTTTTTTATATTCTGAGAAACAATCAAAACTTCGTGTACATTTCTGCTATCTAATAGGCTATTTAAGCACTTACACAGAAATTTTATACAGTTGTCATTTTTAATGCATGTTTTCTGATAGTATAAAAGCTTTCTCATGCAAGAAGGCTGATGTTATAATGGTAGCTAAAAGAATATTAGAAAATACGTTTTTCTCATGGGACATTTCTGAAAGGTCTCTAATGATCAAGATACTTATTTCACTAGACATGTTGTAAAACTGTTAAATAAGGTATTGTTCCTGGATCAAACTGAGGGTCGGGCTACTATTTCTCACGGCCCAATAACGAGATGCAGATGAACTGGGGAGGAAGAGAGTTTTCTTTCTGCAACCGGTTACAGGGAGAAGGCCTGGAAATTATCACGAGACCAACTCAAAATTACAACGTTTTCCAGAGCTTATGTACCTTCTAAGCTATATGTCTACATGAAAGTGCATTCAACTAAAGAGATAAGTGATTAACTTCCTTTATTTAATCTGTAACTAAGGTCTGAGTCTTGAAGACCTTCCCCCGCAGCCTCAGTAAATTTACTTAATCTAAATGGGTCTAGGTGCTGGGGTGATTACCCTTATCTTGTCTCCTGCTAAATCACAGTGGTTTGGTGAGTTCCTTCAGATCTCCAATAAACTTGTTTGTGGAGGCCTGGGGAATTTCTTCAGACCCCCAATAAAACTTGTTGAATCCTATAAGGCCCAGGAAAGGCCTAGGCGAAACTCTTGATGGGCTTTTGTTACATCCCAGCCTTTGTATAAGGTCACTGGCTTTTTTTTTTTTTTTTTTTTTGAGACGGAGTCTCACTCTGTTACCAGGCTGGAGTGCAGCAGCACAATCTTGGCTCACTGCAGCCTCTGCCTCCAGGGTTCAAGCCATTCTCCTGCCTCGGCCTCCCAAGTAGCTGGGACTACAGATGTGTGCCACCACACCCAGCTAATTTTTTTGTATTTTTAGTAGAGACGGGGTTTCACCATGTTAGCCAGGATGGTCTCGATCTATTGACCTCGTGATCTGCCTGCCTTGGCCTCCCAAAGTGCTGGGATTACAGGCGTGAGCCACCACGTCCGGCTGGTCACTGGCTTTTAATACTTTACTTAACCACTCAGTCAGTACTGAAACAGTTGTTAGTGAGGTCTGGCCTGCCACAGTATTACAGATACAATAGTATTGAGCAAAGCTAACTAAATTGACTGGATTGCTTTTGTAATTGCAGATTTACTTAGAATGGAAAAAATATGTTGACCCTTATAAAATAGTCATTAGAAGGCCTATGTGCATAATAGAACCTCATGCGTCTTCTGCTACTAAAGTCTAACATTACTAAATTCAACAAGGCTTCAATGCATTATGGTAGAGCACATTTTCACCAGGTGAAGAAAGCCTTTACTAGTCTACTGACTGAGGAGAGTAAAACCCTTTATAATCAAGAACCCAGAGATTGAATCTGCCTGCCACCTACCCTGAAGCAAGACTTCAAGACCTTGAACATTGGATTGATAATCTCACAATTTAGAAGAGCCCCTCCAAACTCTTGCAATTGTAAACCCATAGGAGATTTTAAGGTAAAGCTAACCAGGAAAGTTTGTCCTCAAAAGCAGATGGCCGTCTCCATGTAGACAGCTTTTTTTCACAAGATCAAAAATCAAGACATCTCGTTATCACGACACTCTTAGTTCACAGTTTGTTTATGGTTCTACAGACAACAGAAATTTTAAAAAGTGGTCTCTTGTGTGCACTCATGGGGGTATACTTACATGTAGAGAATTTTATAGTCAACATTATATATGAGGAAACTTATTCCTTGAAAGGTAAAAGAGGAAGGGCCAATGTGGGTGAGAAGTTTTAATGAAACATTTGTTTTCTCACAATACCAAAAACAGAATATTGGTCCACTGCTCTTAACCTATTTCATAAGTTAAAAAGAACTTATTCAGAATAGGTTAAAGAGCATTGCCCGGAGGCCATTACTCTTCTGAATGGGTATCATTGTTTAGAGTAAATGAGGCAATGGTTACAAATTTATCCCTCTCAATAGAGCTCTATAGCAGATTATACCATAAAGGCTATGCTTACACAATAGACTTTAAATTTTCTCACAAAGTTGTGCCAAATATAATTTCTTTTGATTACTTACTGGATAAATATATATCTGTGCAGTTGCTAATAGCTGCCTATGGAGAACTACAGCAGGTATTATAGAGATGCAGTTGTAGATGATTCATGAACAGGCTGATTAGATGAAATGAGTAGACCATTTATCTAGCTAATTATTTGATCTATTTAATTTTAGTTGGTTGTTCATGGGGACCCTGGCTAAAAAGCATGCTTCAAACTCTTGGTATTATCCTCCTGATAGTCAAATTAGTAATCTTCCTACTGCACTGTATTCTCTCAAAAGATATAAACGTTTGAATATAGTCATTTGTAGAATGTCAAATGGTCTCTCTTTAACTAGAATGATAGAAACTCAAAGACATATGTGACTATGAAGACACCACAACCTATGAATGACATGCTAAGGACAAAAAACAAAAATAGTGGAAACTGAGAGTGGCACTAAAGAACCGAGTTTTGGTCACACTATGACCTATGTAAGAACTTAACCAAATAGGGGGAATTTTTTAAAGAAAACTATTGGAGGCCATAATTCTGGACTGGGCTTATGCACTAGGTCCAAACCAAACCAAAATGAGTCACTCATGCTAGATGTGACATAATTAAACTAAAAATGTAAGGCAATAGGTAGATTCTAAAACTGGCCAGGTTTTATTTTTCTTCTGTAAATAGCAGATTTCAACACAAGGAGGTCCCTGTACTCTAACACTTTAAAAAACAAATAAAAATCATTTCAAAATAATAAGCTGAAGTTTTTATTTCCACTTTACAAACCCACAGTTCTGCTATTTCACAGTCAGATTTGAGTCCAAATAAGTACATTTTTGATGGTGACAAAGTGATATTAATGTCTAAAGTTTTGGTCTCAAACTTGAGAAGACGACAAAAGAGAGAAATTGTTAAATTAGTTATAGCCTAAAGCTTCCCTCTTTTATGTTTAATTTTGGTGAACAGGATTTTTTTTTTTTTTTTTTTACATAGTAAACTTAGTGTTCAAATAGGACAAATCTTAAGCTGTAATAAATCTGGCTGTTTCTGAACCTCACTTCCATTTTCTATATGTCATTTTGCTTTTCTGGTTCATAAATCTTTTACCAACATGTGGCTGTGCTGGAGTCTCTCCGAGCCTACTCTGGATCCATAGGTTACCTGATTTGCAAATCACGATTTGTTCATTTAAACTCTGTTAAATTTAATTTTTCTAAAGTTTTCTTCTTTTACAAATTTTCAAGTTTTTTAGTACTGAAAATAAATAATGTGTTATTGAGCTTTGATTTTCTAAACTCATTCCACAGCTATTTTCTCAAATAATAATAATAATAATAATTATTATTATTATTTTTGAGTCAGAGTCTCACTCTACCACCCTGGCTAGAGTGTGGTATAACTAATCATGGCTCACTGAAGCCTTAATCTTCCAGGCTCAAGCAATTCTCCTGCCCCAGCCACCTGAGTAGCTGGGACTACAGGCATGCAAAATCATGCCTAATTTTTAATTTTTTTTCATGGACACTGGATCTCACTGTGTTGCCCAGGCTGCTCTTGAACTCCTGAGCTCAAGTGATTCTCCTATTTCAGCTTCCCAAAGTGCTAGAATTACAGGTGTGAGCCACCATGTACTTCTGCAATTTCTTGACAAGATTATTCTCAATAATAAACAGTGCTATATGCACACAAATATAAAAGGAATCTGGCTTCTATTTTAGAAGTTTCACTCTCCAGGATTTCAAAGGTCTAGCGCAGCTACTTTAGTATTATAGTTTGATCTATGGAGGTGCACGGGCTTTGGAGTCAGAGAGTTGATAGGCGGGGTGCGGTGGCTCACGCCTGTAATTCCAGCACTTTGGGAGGCCGAGACAGGTGAATTGCTTGAGGTCAGGTGTATGAGACCAGTCTGGCTAACATGGCAAAACCCCATCTGTGCTAAAATAAAAAATTAGCTGAGTGTGGTAGTATGCACCTGTAATTCCAGCTACTCAGGTGGCTGAGGCATGAGAATTGCTTGAACCAGGAGGCGGAGGTTGCTGTGAGCCAAGATTGTGCCACTGCACTCCAGCCTGGGCAACAGAACAAGACTTCATCTTAAAAAAAAACAAAAACAAAACAGTTGATACTGAGTCTCAGCCCAGCCAGTTAGTAGCCGTGGTTCTTTGGACAAGTTTCTTGATGTGAAAGAGGTTGTATGAACCACATATGCAAAAAAAAAGGCAGAATGACACTGATTGCAAAAATTGTAGCAAGTTTTCATGCCTCCTATATCCATTGCCAGGTGCTTTCACAGCTGTTGCCATTGAAATACAGAATTTGGCCGGGCGCGGTGGCTCAAGCCTGTAATCCCAGCACTTTGGGAGGCCGAGACGGGCGGATCACGAGGTCAGGAGATCGAGACCATCCTGGCTAACAGGCTGAAACCCCGTCTCTACTAAAAATACAAAAAAAACTAGCCGGGCGAGGTGGCGGGCGCCTGTAGTCCCAGCTACTCCGGAGGCTGAGGCAGGAGAATGGCGCAAACCCGGGAGGCGGAGCTTGCAGTGAGCCGAGATCCGGCCACTGCACTCCAGCCCGGGCTACAGAGCAAGACTCCGTCTCAAAAAAAAAAAAAAAAAAAAAAAAAAAAAAAAAAAAAACAGAATTTGTTTTCCAAACCATAGATCTGGCTGACCTTACCTGCTCAGGACAGTAGAAAGCTGTAAACATGATAATGTGCTAGTTTGGGGCCTAGGCTCCAATGGTCTTGACTGCTTCTGTTTTTCTTTCAGGATGCTGCCATCTCCATGACGGCCCATGTTAGCCAGGTGGAAAATAAGGGGAGGAGAAGCAGGGTGCCCCTGTTGACAGCCCCAGAAGCAGAAGCTCACCCCCAGAAACACAGCTGCCTAGTGAAAAGACAGCTGATGGTCCACGTCTGAAGGAGCTCAGTTGAGCCCAGCCTAAATGGCTGAACATCTCAATTACAAGCAAATAAGTTGTGGATGGTTTGTTATGCTGCAATAGCTAACTAATACATGTACCCTGTGCAGATGGAATGCCAGGATTCAGTGACAGGTTGATTACTAGTTACCTTCTGACAGTGGACACCCTAAAGGTACTGACTTTTTTTTTTTTCCCTCCTGATTTGAAGTTGTATGTCTTCTAAGACAATGTTGGGTAATGTAGAAATACAGGTAGACATGTATGTGTGTGATTGGTGCTTTTACTCACACAGTACCCCACACCACAGGAGAAAACAGATAATCACAGCCTGACCATTAGGGCCAAGGCCAAATAGCAAAATAAGTTTGCCTTTAATTTGTTTTCTTCATATCTAAAAGTTGGAGGTTAAGACTGTATCCAGACCTGAAAACAGAGTTTTCTTCTCCTGGGGCCCCAGAATTTTTTGTTCACTGTCTGATCTCTGGATGAAGGGTGGACCACAGGTGGCAAGCAGTGGTCTACCTCTGGTTATTTTATTCTTGCTGCCCTCTGCCCTTGCTATGGCCACTATCTGTCCCACCCTCAGAACTGAAGATAGATGTTAGTAGAGAGAGGCTGTCCCCTCACCTCTGGCAGAAAAGGGATGTTCAGGGCCTCCACCCACCTGACATCAGAGCTGCACTTCAACGTGGTAGCTGTTGGCCATGTGTGGCTCCTGGGTGCCTGGAATGTGCCTGATCTGAACTGCAATTTGCTAGAAAAGTAAAATACAGAGTTGGTTTTGAAGATTTAGTTCCAAAAATATATATAGTGCCTTAATAATTACATATTGCTGTGAACCCAGAAAATCTGAGACAGGTCTCAGTTAATTTAGAAAGTTTATTTTGCCAAGGTTGAGAACACGCCTATGACATAGCTTCAGGAAGTCTTGAGGACACCTGCCCAAGGTGGTCAGGGAATATCTTGGTTTTATACGTTTTAGGGAGACATGAGACATCAATCAACATATGAAAGAAGTATATTGGTTTGGTCTGGAAAGGTGGGACAACTTGAAGCAAAGGCAGGAAGACATGAAGCTGGAGGGAGCTTCCAGGTCACAGATAGGTGGTTACATTCCTTTGAGTTTCTGATTAGCCTTTAGTTTCCAGCTTGAGTTTTCCTTAGTAATTTTGGGGGCCCAAGATATTTTCCTTCCACGTAGCTCACATATTAAAATGACAATATTTTAAACATATTGGGTTACATTATTACAATCAATTCCACGTGTTTCATGTTTCTTTTTAAAGTTTGGCTACTAGAAAATTAAAAATTCACATGTGGCTCACATTTTATTTCAGAGGACTGCCTCCTTTTTAAAATGTTAGGCTGCCTGCTCAAAGGACCAGAAGCCAGGAAGGTGATAAAAGCTAAAATTTCAAAGTAATTGTTATTATATTATTTTCATCTGTGACTAGCCACATAGTATATTATTTATAAATGCATATGACCTTATACACAAGGTTCAATGCAAACACCCTCTAGGGTGGGCCTGGCTCAGCTCAGAGGAAAGCCTGCCTGAGAAAGCTGCAGCTAGGCTGTCACTCTTCATTCAGCCCAGCAACTGATCACAACTTCTGTCACTCAGGGCCTGAGGGGGTGGGTCTTAAACAGCATCCAATCAGGGATGCTGGGCGGGGGACAGTCCAATCAGGCACGCAGCTGGAGCGGACAGGGCGGCTTCCGGGATATGGCGGGGCGTTTGGCTGTGGCTGTCTCCAGAGCTCCAGGTCTCGTCTTCATTTCTGTGTCTTTTGTTCCTAGAGGCCCAGCCTGTGTGACCCTGTGACCTGCAGATATTGGGCGATCCAGAGCTAAGACTCCAGGACCCCCTGGCAGCCTAGAAATGGTGAGTGCCGGGTCTGACATCCCGAGAAGGGGGGGAGGGGCTGGCCGGAACCTGGGGAAGTGGCTGTGGCGGACTTAGGTCTCCACGCAGTCAGCTCCACGATCTGCGCCCGGAGTTCTCCTTGCCCAGCTCGGCCTCAGTCCCCTTCAACCATAAGATGGCGGCTGTGCTGATAGCCGGGCGCTGGGCGTCCTGTCTCTTCCCTCCGCAGAGACTGTGCCCTGACCTGTAGCCCTGTCTGGGCAGCTCTGCACGCGCAATTCCGCAGTCTCTCCCAGATTGTGCAGGAACCACGGGAGAATCGTGACTCGGGGTGCGGGTTCATGAGCGGGAAGAGCTTTGATCTGTGGGGTTCCCAGTTCCTATTTTCTCCTATTGAAAATCTATGGGAGTGGCCGGGGGCGGTGGCTTACGCCTGTAATCCCAGCAGTTTGCTGGGAGGCGGGCGGATCACTGAGGTCCGGCATTCGAGAACAACCTGGCCAGCATGGTGAAACCCCGTCTCTACTAAAAATACAAAAATTAGCCAGGTGTGGTGGCAGGCATCTGTAATCCCAGCCATTCGGTAGGCTGAGGCACGAGAATCGCTTAAACCCAGGAGACCAAGATTGTGCCATTGCACTCCAGGCTGGTTGACACAATGAGACTATCTCTAAATAAATAATAAAGGGGAGTCACCGCAAAATATTAAATAATTTAATCAACGAATGGTTCTAAAATTGTAAAGCACCCAGCTGTGGGATGTAGTTTGTGGTCCTTTGGAGGAACTTGAATGAAAGACTGTGCATGATACAAAAACGCGAATTCAGTAATCGGTTAGGTAGTTACGTAGTGTCTTAATTTCCATGTTGAGCGTACAGACTTTCCTGATTATGTAATCAGAGCTTAATTCCAGTTTATAGTTTGTTAACCCTGTATTTGTTTTCCCCAATGTAGTAATTTACCAAAAAAAATTTTTTTTGAGTTAGTTTTTTTTTTTTTTTAAAGACGGAGTTTCGCTTTTCTTGCCCAAGCTGGAGTGCAGTGTCGCGATCTCAGCTCACTGCAACCTCCGCCTCTGTGTTCAAGTGATTCTCCTGTCTCAGCCTCCCGAGTAGCTGGGATTACAGGCAAGCACCACCACGCCCAGCTAATTTTGTATTTTTAGTAGAGACGGTGTTTCTCCATGTTGGTCAGGCTTGTCTCAAACTCCCGACCTCGGGTGATCCGCCCATCTTGGCCTCCCAAAGTGCTGGGATTACAGGCGTGGGCCACCGCACCCGTCTTGAGTTAGATTTTTTAAAAGTAGGAGTTCAGGGACTACGGCCACCTCAGTCGAATTGCCTAGCAGTTAACTATTTTCACTCCCTACACAAAACTGATCTTCCCCTGCGTTTTTCATAGGTGTTCTAAGCAGGGTCTCAAGTCTGCCCTCACGCCCCCTATTCCTCCAGCCTGACTCTGGTTTGCAGTAAAATACAGAATTTCCATTTCCTCCTGACAATCCCAAATGCCAACTCCCCCTCCCTAATTCACACTATTAACTATTTGTCCTTTAGTGTACGTTTTTGATACCGTATTTTAATTAAACATTTTTTGACAAAGCATTGGATGGCACATTTAAATAGATTCGCTTTCTGTTTATAAATATTTTCCATAAGAAGAAAGCAAGGAATAATTTTCTGAACTGTATTGTAAAACAATCTTTGTGTCTTTTCCTTTTATCTTCCCTTGGCGTAGAGATCTCATGAGACTGTTTTGGCATCAAGGTTTTTCTTGGAAGTTTTGTGGGGTGATGTGTCCTCAGCCACCGTTTAGTTTTTTTCCTGGTCCTGGGTTTCAGTACTATCTGAATAAACCAAGGTCTCAGTCATGGCTATGTCTGGGAGACTGTCTAATGAATATTAACTCCTGGGTCATTCTCTCCCATAGGACAACCTGTGGTATGGAGTGTAGCCTCTTAAGGGACCAGGTGGATGCCCTGGGGCTGAGAGGAATTTCCTGGTGTGCTCTTCCTTTGAAAACCTAACCCCTTCAGATGTTTGAATTGTCTTCGCCCAGCCCAACTTTCCTTTCTTGCAGACACATTGCTGGTCAGCCAATCAGATGCTGGTATTGAGTTGAAAACAGAAATAATTTCTGTCCCTGCCCCCTAGATTCTCTACAATTTGTGAAAAAAGAGTAGTATCTCTGCCAGGCACAGTGGCTCACGCCTGTACAAACCCAGCACTTTGGGAGGCCAAGATGGGCAGATCACCTGAGGTCAGGAGTTTGAGACCAGTCTAGCCAACATGATGAAACGCTGTCTCTACTAAAAATACAAAATTAGCAGGGTGTGGTGGTGCATGCCTGTGATCCCAGCTACTCAGGAGGCTGAGGCAGGAGAATCGCTTGAACTCAGGAGGTGGAGGTTGTGGTGAGCCAAGATCGTGCCATTGCACTCCAGCCTGTGCAACAAGAGCGAAACTCCGTCTCAAAAAAAAAAAAAAAAAAGGTGGTATCTCAAAAGGCAAAAGAAACCCTGACCCCGGTGATGTGAGGCAAGAAATTGCAAAGTAAAATGCACTTGGAACACTCACTGGAACAGAGTGTAGAGTCTCCGGAGAGGGTGGCTATTGAGTACTTAAGTGAGCAAGATGAGTGGGAAAATCTGTCAAGTGATTGAACTCGACACATGAGTCGGACACATCTGTTTTCTTATCAGCACTGCCAGTCCCTGGGTTTGTCACTTTGAAAAGATTTGTTCACTTATATTGACTTCAATTTTTTAACTCTAAATTGCAATTTATTAGTAGAGCTTGAAAGGTAAGAAAATATTTACAAAGGGCATAAAAGAGGTGGGTTTCAGAAAAATCTAATCTTTTTTTTGTTGTTAAAAATTCTTATGTACCTTTTTCTTTCTTAGAGTGAGTTTAGGAATTTTCTCAGGCATATTATTTTTTTTTATGGATTTCAAACAGAATTCCAAGGCTTAGATTTTGGAATGTTACCAAGGAAAAGAATAGGGAAAATCTCGCTTCCATTTTGGCTGTAGAAAATGAATACATTTCCAGAAGAAAATGTTGTAGATAATAGGTGGGTTACATGAATTCATGAAAACATCAGTAGTTTTTTCAGGGTAAATTTTTGACAGTGAATATCTCTGTTCTATATCCTGTTATCTTTATTTCAGAGTGTAATGATAAATGTTTTAGATGAAACCTGGTACCTCCTACAAGTTGTTCCCATATGACTAATTGTTTACTACATGATTTTTTTTTTTTTCTTTTTTTTTGAAACGGAGTCTCGCTGAAGGCTGAGGTGCAATGGTGCAATCTCGGCTCACTGCAATTTCTGCCTCCTGGGTTCAAGCAATTCTCCTTCCTCAGCCTCCCAAGTAGCTGGAACTACAGGCACACACCACCATGCGCAGCTATTTTTGTGTTTTAGTAAAGACGGGGTTTCACCGTGTTGTCCAGGCTGGTCTCGAACTCCTGAGCTCTGGCAGTCTGCCCCTCCCAAAGTGCTAGGATTACAGTCATGAGCCACCGTGCCCGGCCTAGTACATGACTTCTTTTTTGAGACGGAGTTTCACACTTGTTGCCCAGGCTGGGATGCAGTGGCACAATCTCAGCTCACCGCAACCTCCGCCTCCCAGGTTCAAGTAATTCTCCTGCCTCAGCCTCCCTAGTAGCTGGGCTTACAGGCATGGGCCACCACACCCAGCTAATTTTGTATTTTTAGTAGAAACGGGGTTTCTCCATGTTGGTCGGGCTGGTCGAACTCCCGACCTCAGGTGATCTGCCCACCTCGGCCTCCCAAAGTGCTGGGATTACAGGCGTGAGCCACCACACCCGGCAACTACATGATTTTTAATGGAAATAATAAAATAATACATTTGTAAAGGAATAGATACTTTTGCTTTTCTTATTGAGGTATGAAATGTAAGCATTGTAAAATTGCCTTTTTTTTTTTTTTTTTGAGATGGAGTCTTACTCTGTCACACAGGCTGGACTGCAGCCCCCACCTCCTGGGTTCAAGCGATTCTTCTGCCTCAGCCTCCTAAGTAGCTGGGAGTACAGGCGCACGCCACCATGCCCAGCTAATTTTTGTATTTTTAGTAGAGATGGGGTTTCACCATATTGGCCAGGCTGGTCTCGAACTCCTGACCTCGTTATCTGCCCGCCTCAGCCTCCCAAAGTGCTGGGATTACAGGCATGAGCCACCGTGCCAGGCCAAAATTGCCTTGTTTTTATATGAACATTGTTTGAATAATTTTGCTGGATTTTTCAAACACTTTTCAAAGACCAAGTGAATAACTCTGACATGGAAATTAAAGCTTGAGCCCAGCGACTCCAAGCTAAGGCTAATATTGAGCCTGCAAAAGAAGGTTTTTTAAGGTCCAGGTAGTTCTTTCTGGGGAGCCTCCCCTGCAGGTGTCCCAGCCTGCGCACCCCAGCCATGGAAGGAGCCTTTATCCTGAGAGAAGCTACAGAGCCCTGGAAAGCTGGGGCCCCACAGGCAGATGCAGTTACGATTAAGGTGGAAGGGGACTGGGAGGATCTCACTGAAGATAAAGTTGTCCTTGTTTTGAGACAGTTTTTAGACTTTGTAAAATAGAACAAAGTTAGATTTGTGTAAAAAAAGAAAATTGAATTATCAAGGAGTATTGCAACAGGAGGAAGTACCAACCATAAGAGCGTTAAGGATTGCAAAGTTTAGGCAGACAAAGGCTTTCTCTTTTTTCTTCTTTTTTTAATCTTTTTTTTTTTTTTTTGAGATGGAGTCTCACTCTTGTTGCCCAGGCAGGAGTGCAGTGGCGCGATCTTGGCTCACTGCAACCTCCACCTCCCGGGCTCAAGCGATTCTCGTTACTCAGCCTCCCAAGTAGCTGGGATTATAGGCGCCCGCGACCACACCTGGCTGATATTTGTATTTTTAGTAGAGGCAGGGTTTCACCGTGTTGGCCAGGCTGGTCTCAACTCCTTACCTCAGGTGATGACAAGGGCTTTCTTTCATAGGGATGAGCAAACAAGATTAGA